CTTGGTCTCTTCCTTCTGTAGAGATGCCCTGTATCCAAGCCCAATATGGGACACCAGCACCAAGCCCAGGGCCCTGTGATCACCTGGCAAGCGACCCCCTGACCCCTGAGCTCAGCAAGCCCACCATGGACCTGGCCAGCCCCGAGGCGGCCCCTGCCGCCCCCACTGCCCTGCCCAGCTTCAGCACCTTCATGGATGGCTACACAGGCGAATTTGACACCTTCCTCTACCAGCTGCCAGGAACAGTGCAGCCATGCTCTTCGGCTTCCTCCTCTGCCTCATCCACGTCTTCATCCTCAGCCACCTCTCCTGCCTCTGCTTCCTTCAAGTTCGAGGACTTCCAGGTGTACGGTTGCTACCCTGGCGCCCTGAGCGGCCCCCTAGACGAGACCCTGTCCTCCAGTGGTTCTGACTACTATGGCAGTCCCTGCTCAGCCCCGTCGCCATCCACACCCAGCTTCCAGCCGCCCCAGCTCTCTCCCTGGGACGGCTCATTTGGCCACTTCTCCCCCAGCCAGACTTACGAAGGCCTTCGAGCATGGACAGAGCAGCTGCCCAAGGCTTCTGGGCCCCCGCAGCCACCAGCCTTTTTTTCCTTCAGTCCCCCGCCTGGTCCTGGCCCCAGCCCGGCCCAGAGTTCCCTGAAGTTATACCCCTCGCAGGCCACCCACCAGCTGGGAGAGGGAGAGAGTTATTCCATGCCAGCCGCTTTTCCAGGCTTGGCACCCACCTCCCCGCACCTCGATGGCTCAGGGATGCTGGATGCACCTGTAACCTCAGCCAAGGCCCGCAGTGGCGCTCCAGGCGGAAGTGAGGGCCGCTGTGCTGTGTGTGGGGACAACGCCTCTTGCCAGCATTATGGGGTCCGGACCTGTGAGGGCTGCAAGGGCTTCTTCAAGGTATTATGCTACCCTGGGCCTGCTGTTCTGTTGGCAGAGGGCAGAGACAAGTCACTCATCCCACTGCAGTCTTCGGTGGGCTCCCTGGCCTTCTCTTCCCAGCTAGTCCTATCTTACAGGAAGGGGCAGGCCTGCCAGGTAGGCCACTTTCCTAGGGGCCTACAGATGCACGGGCTGGGACCTTCCATTCACTGGGGCAGGCAGGGGCTTAGGGGACCACAGAGGGCTGAGATAGGGTACAGGTTGCGGGCTACAGGGGTCCCCAGGAGGATTGGTTCCCTTGACCAGCCTTTGGTTGTCTTCTCCCATCCCCCCAGGTCCTGGTGGGAAGGGGCCCCAGGCACTCATGTTCCTGGCATAAGATGAAAGGATCTGAGCAGAGGGTTTGGTTCTTGAGCACTGGGGGTGGACTCGGGAACAGGCTGTGTATTTGTCCCAGTGCTGGGTGCCTGTTTAGCTTCCCGTCCCCACCCCCAGCCCCTCACCCTCTCCTGTGGGCCCTGGGGAAGGAGCTGGCAGACAGGCTCGTTAAAAGACAGGTGTCTGAGCTGCTTGAAGAGGGGGTCCCTAGCCCCTAATCTTGGGCCCCGGCGGTCTTCCTCCTGAGGCAGAAGCTGCCCCGACATCTCCAGGACTTCTCTCTCCCCTCCCCTCCAGCTCTCCCTCCTCTGCCACCCAAATGTTAGAAAAATAGCCACGAACAGAGAGCGCTTTTGTCTGCGTCGTCGGCAGCAGGATCTGGACAGTCCCCTCCTCTGGCTTCCCCCTCCCCACCCCACACTCTGACAGCCTGTTCCGTGTTGCCCCCCCAGCGCACAGTGCAGAAAAGCGCCAAGTACATCTGCCTGGCAAACAAGGACTGCCCTGTGGACAAGAGGCGGCGGAACCGCTGCCAGTTCTGCCGCTTCCAGAAGTGCCTGGCTGTGGGCATGGTGAAGGAAGGTGGGTGTCGGGATTGGGCCTGGTGGGGCCCAGGCAGCCTGACAGGGTGGGGCAGGGTTTCCAGGCATCTGCCCTGAAGCCCTACAGAGGAGGGCAAGTCTGCCCTTAGGTTCCTCTCCCTCCAAACCCTTGGGCCCAGGTGGGAGGCAGCGTCCACCTGCCTGGTTAGTGAAAGAGGTGATGGTGGGAGCCTCGTAGGGTTCCTTGTGCCTTGGGGGCTCTGGGTCTTGGGTCCTGTGCCTTTCAACAGCAGCGTGTATGCAGTGCTTGGGCTGAAGGTCTGTTCTGCAGATCCCTCCCTTCCTCACCACTGCTCAACCTTTTTGCAGTTGTCCGGACAGACAGCCTGAAAGGCCGACGGGGCCGGCTACCTTCAAAACCTAAGCAGCCCCCAGATGCCTCCCCTGCCAATCTCCTTACCTCCCTTGTTCGGGCACACCTGGATTCGGGGCCCAGCACCGCCAAACTGGACTACTCCAAGGTGAGGCCCCACCTGCCCTGCCCCTATTTGGGGAAGGCCGCTGTGAACATGTGCTTTGTGCTTGTTAGGAAAGGCACTCCCTATGGCAGTTCTTCAGAAAAAGAGCACCGCCCCCCGCCCCCCAGCTGACCAGATGGAAAAGTGTGGCCCCTCGGTGGACAGCCAATGAGAAACACATGCTCCTTCCAGGAGCTGCAGCCCTGAGTTGCATATGGGAAATGACAAGTGGGAGCGTGGGCCCCATCTGGTGCCTGTTCTCACACTCAGATCTGCCATCCTGAGTGTGCAGTGGCTGGTGTGGGCCCTGCCTGCAGTGCTTACCCCAGGGCCACCTTCCAGTTCCAGGAGCTGGTGCTGCCCCGTTTTGGGAAGGAAGATGCTGGCGACGTGCAGCAGTTCTATGACCTGCTCTCCAGTTCTCTGGAGGTTATCCGCAAATGGGCCGAGAAGATCCCTGGCTTCGCTGAGCTGTTTCCTGGGGACCAGGACCTGCTGCTGGAGTCAGCCTTCCTGGAGCTCTTCATCCTCCGCTTGGCCTACCGGTGAGCTGCCTGCCATCCTCCCAGCCTCTTCCCTGCTGCTCCGGCCCATGCACACCTGAGCGCTGACTGCCGTCTGCATCTCTCCTGCCAGGTCTAAGCCAGGTGAAGGGAAGCTCATCTTCTGCTCAGGCCTGGTGCTGCACCGGTTGCAGTGTGCTCGTGGCTTCGGTGACTGGATTGACAGCATCCTGGCCTTCTCACGATCCCTGCACAGTTTGGCTGTTGATGTCCCTGCCTTTGCCTGTCTCTCTGCTCTCGTCCTCATCACAGGTGAGTGGGGTGGCTGGAACCAAGTGGGGTCCTAGGACCTGGGTATTGGGGTTGATTGGTTCTCAGGAGGGCACCGTACAGGACTTTGGACAGGGTGGCATCTAACACTTCCTGGCCTCTTACTTTGCGGGTTGCTGATACCCACTCATGTTGGTATGCACTGGTATGACAGGCACTGCAGTCATTTCACTTCAAAGCTGGCCTTTGAATGACCCCAGACTGCCCAAGGTGCATCCATGGGTTCCATGTGTCTAGCTTAGGGTTTTGATTTTTTTTTTTTTAATCTCCCTATCAGCTGGGCATGGTGGCACACACATGTAATCCCAGCGCTTAGGATGCAGAGGCAGGAGGATCACAGATTCCAGCCCAGCCTGGACTACCTGTGGCATCCAACCTGGACTACCTAGTGAGACCCTGCCTCAAAAAGATAAAAAATAAACTGCAAAATAAATATAAAAAACCTCCCTGTCACATACACAACATACAGGAAAGTGCACACATGATGAATTTTCACAAAGCACACTTGTGTAACCAGCCCCTTGGTCAAGAAACAGGGCATGACTAGCACCCCAGAAACCTTCCTTGTGGCCCACTGCGATCACTGTCTCTGAGAAGGGTCAACCACTGATTTCCAGCAACACAAATGCCATACCTCTTGGGAACTTGTGACTTGTGGTTGGGCAGGATGGGCTGTGGTGTTAAATGGAGGCATTCAGATCTCTTATTTCACAAAGAACTAGAATGTGCCACCCCCCATTGTCATTTAAATTCCTCAGGAGACCTAGGCCCTGTGGCACAGAATCAGAAGTATTAGGGCTGGAGAGGAAGTGGTGGGGTCTGAAGTCAGCTGTCCCTAGTGGTGGCTCTAGAACAAGCTTGCTCAACTCCAGACCTCTCCAGAACAGTCTGGAAAAAATGCCTGCCTAGCCAGAAAAGCTGAGTTAGGGTTTTATTTCATTTTTGTGACCTGGGGCAAGTCATTCAAGTTCACTGGGCTGGCCCTTTTGGAATGTGAGGGTAATAAGTGTTCCTTCTGATGAGGCTTGAAAATGGAACATACTCTGGCCAAAGGTTGCTGGCCACACTTGTAGGGGCCTGGGGGAAGCTGGGTCTCCTGGTGGTGCTGGTCCGTGGCTGGGCGGCTGATCCTGCATCCTTCTTGCAGACCGGCATGGGCTGCAGGAGCCACGGCGGGTGGAAGAGCTGCAGAACCGCATCGCCAGCTGCCTGAAGGAGCACATGGCGGCCGTGGCGGGCGAGCCCCAGCCGGCCAGCTGCCTGTCACGTCTGTTGGGCAAACTGCCCGAGCTGCGGACCCTGTGCACCCAGGGCCTGCAGCGCATCTTCTACCTCAAGCTGGAGGACTTGGTGCCCCCTCCACCCATCGTCGACAAGATCTTCATGGATACACTGCCCTTCTGACCCTGGCCCCGAGCATGTGTGCACAAGTTTGTGCGCTCTTACGCCACCCCACGTGCCTTTAGCCCATGGCCCACGGACCCCCAGAGCATCCTCCGGCCTGGGCTCGGGCTGCAGACTGACTGACTCATCTCCTCACCTGCTCTAGGAGGTTGGCAGGAAGCTCAAGTCCTGGGGAAGGGGGATGCATTCACGGGGGTGACCCCACAATTTGTCTTATTCCCCCAGCCTGGCCCTGGCCATCATGTTTTTTGTAAGATAAACCATTTTTAACACATGCCGCTGTGCTGTAAATAAGCTGAATGCTGCTGTAAATACAGGAAGGAAGAGGTTGGCGTGGGGGTTGGGAGGAAGGGATGGGGCCCCCACTGGCCCAGTCAACCCTTCCCAGCCTCCTTTCACGTGTACATAAACTGTCACCCGAGGAAGAAGACAAATGACAGATTCTGACATTTATATTTGTGTATTTTTCCTGGATTTATAGTATGTGACTTTTCTGATTAATATATTTAATATATTGAATAAAAAATAGACATGTAGCTGAAATTGGGATTGTCTATCTCTGACATCCACTACCTCTACATACATCCATAGTTACATGAGACAGAGGCGTGGCTCCGGGCAGACCTTAGATGTTACCAATTTGAACTAGCAGGCCTCGGTTTACTCATTTATAAAAGCAGATCACGATGGCACCTGCTTCACTAGTGCTCATTTCTAACGTGTGGAATGTCTCTGGAAATTTGACTGAACCTGGCCTCGTCGCAATGCTAGGCTATCGCTCCGGGACAGAGTTACACGCTAGCTCTCTAATTACTGCTTTCCACATTGATGAGAAAGAACAGCCCCTGCCTCACAGCTGTAGGATTAGGGGAGTGTGTTTGTGTAGCTTAGCATGGGGATGGATGGAGAAGCCAAAATGTTAGCAGCTGATGTTGCTTAAATTTTGTTTCATCTCTATTCTCAACATTCTCCCCACCCCTGCGACAGGCTCCGTACAGCTGGCATCCCTGGTCTTCTTAGCAAGAAAATTGTTCTGAGACTCTCACCCATGTCCAAGTGCCTCCATACGGGTTCTTCAACCCTCCTGCTAGCTCATTAGTTGCCTAGACAGCTGGTTTTATTATTAGTATTTTTTTGGTATCAAGAATCAAACTCATGACCTCGTATTTGCCAGGCAGGTGCTGCACCACTGAGCTATATCCCTGGCTCTACTCAGCTGGCTTTAAATGTAGACTCCTGAGCTCTGCTCCCCAGAGGCAGGTCTGGGGGCAGGCTTTCCTGAAAGGGTGCTTTTGGAGCTAGCAGCTCCTCCACTGTGCTCAGTGCCCGTCCAGCCTCATCACTCCCTTGGACCTGTAGGAGTCCTGCAGGTAGTATTTTCACACCTGTTCCTCACTGTCTCCGGCCCCTGGTGCAGGACCTTCATCTCTGCTTGCATGGGCCCTGGGAACTGTCTAGATGGAGCCAGCCCCACTGCTCCGGTTGAGCACAATAGGGCTCTGCTGTAGAGGCAGGGAGAAACCCAGGCCTTCCTCGGTAGCCTACAGCCACACGCCCTCACTTGGGTCCTGGGAATGCAGTCCAGCTTCAGCCTTCTGCATGTGGCTGAGGTAGGGGATGCGGGGGAGTGACTGCCATGCCCAGCAGTGCAGCTGCCCCCCACCCCCCGCCCCAAACTTGGTCAGCAGCACTAGCACCTGAAGGGGTGATGGGTAGTGGCTTGCCTCCACCTGCCTGCTGCTGCCAGAGAAGCCCTTCTTCCTCACGGAGCCTCAGCTTCCCCACCTGCTCAGTGTCGGGGGTTGTTGGTCTGGTGATTATGCTCTGGTTAGGAACAGAGCTTGCTAGGAACCTCCCACCGCTGTGACCGGACTGAGTCCTTCTGGCTTTGGGTCACCCTCCAAGTGCCTTTAGCACAGACAGATGTGGCGACAGGCCAGGCCGCTGGGGAAGGCAGAAGGACTGCAGCACTTAGGTGCTTGGGGTGGCGCCAGGGGCCAGGAATGGGTGGGGTAAAGGAGAATCTTGGTCCCCACAGTTCTCAAAGCAGCATTGTGATGATAATAGCTACCAGCTAGCTCCTTTTCATGTGTTTATTATTTCAGGCCTCAGTAACACCCAATGAAGGAAGCAGGATTATTTCCACCTCACAGGTGGGTACTCAGCATGGTAGAAAGCAAAGACTCTGGATCCAGACTGCCTGCGTTTAAACCTTGGCTCCAGGGCTGGGGGTGTAACTCAGAGGTAAAGCACATGCGTGCTCAGGGTGCATGAGGCCTTGGGTTAGAGTCCCAGCACACACCGGTGTGCTCACAAGTATACACAAAGGAAGTAGGAGAAGAAAATCCTGGTGCTAGCTCTTCCGGTTTTTTTCAGATTTTTTTTGTTTTTTGAGAGAAGGTCTCACTGTAGTTCAGGCTGGCCTTGAACTTGTAGCGATCCCCCTGCCTCAGCCTCACAAGTACTGGGATTACAGGCACTTTCCACCATTCCTGGCCCGGTGTTAACTCTTACCAGCTGGCTAATACTGGGCCAGTTACTTAACCTTTATGTCCGTTGGTGTTTTTATTTATAAATGAGAGAAAAACTGTACCTTTCATAAAGTTGCTGTAAAGACTACGAGTGGATATACATAAGTGTTCCAAGTGGTGCCTGGCATGCAGTAAACACCCAACAAATGGGGCTGGGGGTTTAGCTCAGCGGCAAAAGCGCCTGCCTGGCAAGCGCAAGGTCATGAGTTCGGTTCCTGGTACCGGAGAAAAACCAAAAAAAACAAAACAAAAAACACCCAATAAATATTAGCTATTGCTTTTCCAAGAGGCTAATCCAGAGGACAGGCAGTGACTTCCCCAAGGTCACTTGGTTTCTAAGTAGTGATTGGCCGTGTCTGGCTACCTCCCAGCCCAGTGTCTTGCAAATAAAAGCTGCCTTGGCGGCAATTCCTTTCCAGCATTCTGACAATTGGGGTACAGCACGTGGGGGTGGGGGACCTGCCCCTCCAGCCCCACCCTGCCCCACCCAGCTGGAAGCTGGAGGCAGGCCCTTTCTTTCCACTCAGCAACTGGAGGAACTGGCCTCCAAGTCTTGCTAGGGGCCCCTGAGTGCGAACAAGGGGGCATTGAGTCTGGTGGGGCCTCACAATGGCTGCTCTGTCCCTGCTGGCCGGGGGCTGGGCCCATTTCCGACAGGGACAATAGTCAAAAGGCAATGACGCCGGCAGGGCCTGGAATCCCGGGCGGGATTTTCCAAGGCCTCAAAGCCTGCTGTTTGTCCTCACACGCAGACCCAGGAAGCCTGCCTCCGTCTCCCCACCCCACCCACGCTGGGCACCGTGCCCAGAGGTCCTGGACCCCTCCTCAGCCTTGAGATGCCACCGTAACTCAGGAGGGTCTGAGATCTCAGCTGAGAGGGACACTGTACACCACAGGTCTGTGCCCATGGCCTTTCTCTGGGGCCTAAGGTGGAGAAAGCTGCTCCACATCTGGACTCAGGCCACCAGGCTTGGTCATGGAGAAAGGTGGTGGAAATAAGCATCGGGGAGGCGAGGAGCTTCTGAAGGTCACAGGCAAGCACGCTGTGGTGAACTGTGCTGTCCGCATGGTCCATGGCGTATCCAGTATGCTCGCCTTCGTGGCAGCAGCTTGTGGCCCAAGAGGGTGGTATATGTCTGTAACCCCCATACTGGGGAGGCTGAGGCAGGAAGATCGCTTTGAGTTCAAGATGAACTTGGATGACATAGTGAGTTCAAGGCCAGCCTGAATTAGCGTGAGACCCTGTTTCAAAAAAAAAAAAAAAAAAAGTGTGAGCACAGTCCAAGCAAATCACGAAGACCCTATCTCAAAAACTCAAAAGGGCCAGGAATGTAGCTCAGTGGTACAGTGCTTTCCTGGTGTGTAGGAAGTCCTGAGTTCAGTTTCTAGTACCACAAAAAAAATGAAACACACACACAGGGAGCCCTGAGAGGTCCTGTCAGAGACAACAAGATGTGTGGTAACTGGATGGTGAGCCACGGCGGCCTTCATAGCCACGAGGCAAGTGTGCGACTCATGCCTGAGCTGTGTGCTGGCTGAGAGCGGCTGGGCCTGGGACTCCAGAAGGGTTAAGCTTAGAAATGCGGGTGAGTCCCAGCCTCTTCTCCGCAAGCCCCTGACTGCGGCAGGGGCCTCCTTAGAGGACGCAGCTGAAGGGGTGCGTGAGCCTCTGTCCGCCCGGCTTGAACTCGCGGCCGGCCGCACAGCTCAGCCGGCAGCTTTTCTGGCCTCACCAGAGCAGCCACGGCTCAGCCTCAGGCTTTGGGCTCTGCCCGAAACCCTGCCTCCAGCCCTGCTCCAGCCGCAGGCTCTCAGGCTTTTGCCCAGGCCTCGGCCCTCAGGGTGAGGGTAGATGTGGAAACTTCTGGCCCCTGCAGCGGGTACAGGAAGAGTCAGTGCCAGGCTGAGTTCTGTAAAGGGCCTTCACTCGCAACGTTTCTTGCCCCTTCTGAGGGCAGGAGGGCCATTCCAGGCTCCTCAGCTGACTTCAGAGGTGGACAGGGACTTGGGCCCTAACTTCTGCCTCCTGCCCACCACCCTGGGCCTTTGCTCTGCTCATCCTCCCACCACACTGGCTCCCCCTCGCATCTTTCTGGGCCCGGACGCTGTCAGGCTGGGGGGCACCTGAGGTCTTCTCAAGGTCTGACCCAGGCATTGGCACTGTCCAGCCTCAACTTGGGACCATAAATCAGGCTCAGCGAGGCCACAGAGGCTGGGGGTGGCAGCTGGGCCAGGAAGGGGAGTGCGGGGGGGGCCCTGTCCTGGTACATGCTGCGTTAGCAGGGAGCAGTGCCCAGCTGCAAGCCAGGCGGGCAGGGTGCTGACTGGTGCTGCCCGCCTAACCTGGTGCCCCCACCCAGGGAGCCTAGCCTTGGGGTGACCAAGCAGGAATCCTGGACCCTAACCCAGAGAGTCCAAGGTAACTAAGACACTATAAGGATACACAGAGATGTCCCCTGCCCTGCAGGAAACCAGCGTCAGATAAACAACCCTCAGGGGTAGATACAGACCCTCCCCTATCAGGGTGGCTAACAGCCATTCCCCTTTGTAGGGAGAGTCACAGAGATTCCTTTACCCCAAGAATGACAGATACACACACCTCCCAAAGGAACAGATACACAGCCCTTGCAGGGAGAGACAGTCTCCCTAGGGACACTGAACAAAAATAAAGCCCCATCCCCATCTCAACTAGGCTGGACAAATAGACCTTCCCTGAGCACGCAACACAGTTTCTCCCCAACGTGGAGGACAGATCCCCGGATCCTAGCAGGACAGAAGGCAGGCATGCACCGTAGCCTGGTCTAGGGCTGGCGGCCGCCTGATGAGGTTAACAGGTTGGGACTGGGAGGCACCTCTTTCTCACGCCCTCTGCCACTTTCTCTGCTTTCTCTTCCGCCCAGCCATTTCCTCTGCCACAGAGGGCGGGGACAGGGAGTGACGTCCTAGAAAGGGTGGGAGGTGGAGGAGCCCCTGCCTAGGATCCCAGGGGATAGAAGTCAGAAGGAGACAGCTGGTGCTCTTCACCCCTGCGGCCTGGCCCTGGCTGGAGGGTGAGCAGGCAGGGTGCTGGGTGGCTATCCAGCCAGGCTGGCCACCATCAGGAGCCCCTGGCCTGACGTCAGTCCCACACATTGTTGTTTCTGGGACTTGAGTCACTCCCTGTGACGCCACTGGGGTCAGCTCTGGAGCGGCTAGAGCGGCCTTCAGGGCCAGCTTCGGGGCTTAGCTCTCCCCTGGGTGCACCCCAGGATGAGGTGGGGCCATCTAAGGCCACACTCACCAGGTGACGTCAGCTGCCTGCTCCCAAGGTCTGGAGTTGGTCTTCAAGGTCCTCCACAGGCCTCTGCTCCAGGCGGGGCTACGAGAGCCCTGGTGAGCGGCTGTCTGCCTGGCTGGCCGGGGCTCTGAGCTCTGGCAGAGAAGTGCTCCACTCCCTGTCTGCTAGCCTCTCAGGCCTGGGAACTCTGATCCCCCTCAGCCTTCAGGGAGACCTTTCCCTCCAGCCTTGCATTTCCCTTCTCCAGAGAGTCTTCCCAGAATAACCGCCTAGTATCTCCTTCCTGGAACCCCACCCCTCCCCTGCCCATCAGGCTGTTGTCCTACGTTCTCTGCGGCCCAGCTGCTTTACTTCTGGTGCCTGGGCACTTCCTAACTCCCTGGGAGCAGGGCTGGAGATCCCTCCTTGCTCTAAATGTGTCACTTTTCTCTTCCATCACACCATCCCTCGGGGATGACAGCAGCTATCCTGGCCATCTCTGCCCCCAAAGAACCTACTATTGTTTCTTTCATACTACTTGTGAGGTTTTCTTGTCCAGTGTAGCCCCTGGTCCATTTCCTCTGTAAGACTTGGAGCTTCCAGAAGGATACAAGTGTGAGTTGTCTTGTGGGTAGTACAGGTATTACATGGGCCTAGTGTACACGGTTGCATATGTTTGCCATGAATGAGTGAATAAATGAACAATTATTATTATTTTTGAGAGAGAGTCCTCTTATAGTCCAGGCTGGCCTGGAACTCACGATCCTCCTGCCTCAGCCTCCCTAGTGCTGGGAGTATAGACATGCACCCCAACACCTCGCAACAATAATGAAGACGCATCTTGATTATCACGGGTAAAGGTGTAGGATGGGAAAACTCACCTTAATAGTCTCACATTTTTTGTTTAAGACCCCCTCCCTGACCAGAAGACTCAAATGGGAGTGGGGCCCTGCGTCTGAGCTTTGATGAGAACTGCCCTGAAAGAATTTAGGGAAGTACAAGGCAGCAAGCAAGGCTTGACCACCTGGTGAGACCAGAGAGGCGAGAGGAGAGTAGTACAAGGAAAGGCGCTATGGGGAGGATGAGTTTTGGAGTAGGGCAAGGATAAAAAACTAGCGGAGCATGGCATGCCTGTAATCTCACCACTAGTGAATTCAAGCTTAGCCTGGGCTATATATCTGAGCTTAAGGTCAGCCTGGACTATTTAGTAAGATCATGTCTCAAAAAAAAACCAAAAAATTGGCTGGATGTGATGACGCACGCCTACAATCCCAGCATTTGAGAGGCTGAGGCAGGAGGAATGCTGGGAGTTTGATCCCAGCGTGGGCTACATAATGAGTTGAAGACTATTCTTAACTACATACTGAGACTCTGTCTCAAAAAACAAAACAAAACAAAACAAAAACCACCACTACCACCACCAAAAAAAAAAAACCTGGAAAAAAAAAAGAAAAACTGGGCATGGTGGTTCACACCTCTCATCCCAGCACTTTGGAAGCCTGAGGCAGGAGATTCACAAGTTCCAGGCAAGCCTGGGCAATTTAGCAACTTAGTAATATCCTGTCTTTAAAAAGGAGAAGAGAGGGGCTGGGGATTTAGCTCAGCGGCACAGTGCCTGCCTGGCAAGCGCGAGTACGTGAGTTCAATTCCCGATACCAAAAAGGAGAAAAGAGCCAGGTGTGGTGGCCCATGCTTGTAATCCGGAGGCGGAAGCAGGAGGATCACTGTGGGTTCGGCCGGCTTGGGCTACAAAGTGAGCTTAAGGCCAGCCTGAACTGCAAAGTGAAACCCTGTCTCAAAAAGGCAATCAATCAATCAATCAATCAATAAAAGGGGAAAAGGGGGCTGGGGAATATAGCTCAGTGCAAAGGCCCCGGGGTTCTATCCCCAGTACAGCCCCGTCCCCCATAATGGAACAAAGAAGAGCAGTTGTGTGGGTTGGTGAGTAATTAGTTAAGGATTTCAGAGACAAAATCAAGAGGACACATACACACAGAGGAGGGAGGTGAGATAGACAGATTTATTACAAGAAGGCCGACACATCCCAAGCTCTGAATTACAGTCAGCAAGTGGAGAGCCAGGAGAGCTGATGGTGTAGCTCCTGTCTGAAAGCAGGTCCTTCACACCCAGCAAGAGAGCAGGAAGGGACTGATGTCCGGGCCCTATAGCTGCCTTATGTCCTAGTCAAGTTGACACATAAAATTAACCATTACAGCAGGTCACTGCATTTCACTGAGATTTCATTATCTGTAAACTGGGGGTGGGGTTGGAAATCATCACTATAGTGACTGCAAAGTGCTGGCATAATGACTAGAAAGGCTTGATGATGATGATGATGATGATGGTATCAGGATGGTGGCAGCAAGAGGCTGAGACAGTGTGTCAGGGCTGGGGATTTAGCTCAGCGGCACAGCACCTGCCTGGCAAGCACAAGGTCATGAGTTCGATTCCCAGTACCCGAAAAAAAGTAAAAAAAAAAAAAAATCCAGTGGAGACAGTGTGTCAGGGGTAGGTAGTGGTCAGTCATTCCCCTCACTCACTGGCCGGATATAGGGGTTGGGCTCTGGTTCCACTTCTGCAGCAGCGTTGGTCCCAAGCTCTCTGGGTCTCCATACCCCTTCAGCTTCTCACACATGCCGCCTCTCACTAGTTTTCTCCTGATGGGCTCCTAGTTTTATGCATGCTCTGGGAGAGGAGGCTGGTCTGTAGGGCAAGCATTTGTCTCTTTGTCCAGGCCCTAGGGGGAGTCCCTGGCTGCGCAGGAAGAGGCACTCCTACCTGGGACAGAAGCAAGGTCTGAACAAGAACAGATCCATGGGGAGGAAGGAAAGGGCACCAGGAACAGATGAGGGGGAGAAGGCCAGCAAAAGAAAGTGGGTGTGCAGCTGGGTTTGGAAGAACAGGTGGGAAGAGGGACCTAAAGGTTGGAAATGTAACAGCGGTGTGCTGGAGCCAGCTGGTACTGAGACTTAGGAGCCTACTGCACCCCTGATGATGAAGATGCAACCATTCAGCCAGGTGTGGTGGTGCATACCTGTAATCCCAGCACTCTGGGAGGCTGAGGCAGGAGGATTGCAAATTGGAGCCCAGCCTGGGCAATTTAGTGACTTAGTGAGACCCTGTCCCAATATAAAAATACTCTTTAAAAGGTTGGAATGTAGGTTAGTGGAATGGCCCTGGGTTCAATCCCTAGTACTGGCGAAAAATGATGTAATCATTTATTCAGTCCAGACTCTGAATTCAGTGATATCCTGTAGGTTAAAATTGGTATGGTAGAAAGTTGGCAAAAAACGCTACAAATCAATCTGGGTGTGGTGGAACCATCTATAATCCCAAGGATTTCAGAGGCTGAAGGAGGACTTGGGAGGTTGAGGCAGGACTACTGAGAGTTCAAGGCCAGCTTGGGTCACCTAGTGAGTTTTTGTTTTTGTTTTTTTGTCTTTCTGAAACAGGGTCTCGCTATGCAGTTCGGGCTGGTCTTGAACTCATGTTGTAATCCAGGCTGGCCTAGAACTCTCTATGATCCTCCTGCCTCAGCCTCCTGAGTGCTAGTATTAAACAGGCATGTGCCACCACGCCCAGCTGATATAGTGAGTTTAAGGGCAACCTGGGCTATTTTTGGAGACCCTTTCTCAAAAAAAAAAAAAAAAAAAAGCTACAATCAAGGGAATTTCCTATTAGATGTAGGTCAGCCCACTACTAGTGGGTGAGCTACACATTGGAGAGTGACAGTGCACAGGAGGGCCCTGCTGGAGGTCAGAACGGGAATTTGTTTATTTATTTATTTATTTTTTGTTTGTTTGTTTATTTTTTGAGACAGGGTCTGGCTATGTAGTTTAGGTTGGCCTTGAACTCACTATGTAGTTCAGGCTGTCCTTGAGCTGACGGTGATCCTCCTGCCTTAGCCTCCCCAGTGCTGGGATTACAGGCACGCGCCACCACACTAAGTTTAGAATTATGCCCTTTTTGTGCCACTCAATAATTGTTACCTGTTACTGTTTTGGAACATAAAGTGTGTTAGGAAAAAGAGGCATTTTTATCCTCAAGTTAAACAACTCAAGAGTGCTCCCTGTTGGAGGGAGCATGCTAGGCTCTGCAGGCATTTGAAAGCAATTGCCCCAGATTCAGCTGCCCTGGCTTTCCAATCTGTGTGGAGAACCAGTCATGCTCCCAGGCAGTTACACAGCACTAACATATTCACAGACTATTTCATGGGTCACAAAAGACTCATATGCGTTATCGCTTGGGATTCTCACAGCAGCTGCCTCTTTATAGAGGAAATCAGAAAGGATGAGAGATGTCAGAGAGGCAATGGCCGAATTACAAGCCTTACAAGAACTGTCACCAGATCGGGCATGGTAGAGCACCAGGTAGTGCTGCAGCATGAAGGTAACCCTCAGAAAGATTAAGCCCCTTTTTCTCATACCTTTGTGTGGGTTGAGGGTCAGGGATCCTCCCCGTTAAGTACGTTGGACAGATTCACGTTTTTGCCATCCACTCAGCGTCACGCAGCATACCGGTGTGCGCTCATTGTCAGGATTCTTGTCTGTCTGAATGCTTATGCCCTTGAATTTATGGGGATCGGTGCCTTTTCCTGGGCTTTCAGGGGAGAAGGGGAGCGCGCCCTTCCGAGGGGTTGATTCACCGCCAAGACACCCCTCCGCCAAGGAGGCAGCGCAGAGCCCATTTGGCCCCTCTTTCCTTCCCATCTCTATGGCGGAAGTGACTTGCTCCAGTCAAAACAAGTCTCGCTGGTGGGAGGGAGTGGACTCGTCCAAATAAGGGGGATACTGCCTAGCGTAAAGTCTTACAGTCAGAGAAATAATCAAGAAAAAAAGAAGCACCCAAGCTCCTGAGCATAACATAATTATGAGTGTACCTTTCTATGAGTTTCCAGACGCTGTGGGCAGCGGCAGTGGTAAGAGGCCTCGACCGAGCCCGGCGTTCCCCAGCCGGAGACCGCAGGTGGCATGCCCCGGCACGTCACTCGCCGGGACAGGGCGAGGCTTCTGGTCCCGGCTCAGCTGTTGCCGCGGTGGTCTGGCTCCTGAAGCGGCTGCTGTGGCGTGGCTCGCTGCTTCCAGACCTGAGTTCGGAGAGGTAGGAGACCGTCCTAACCGTCCGCCCTTCTTCCTGCGCGGGCGCGGGTGCCTCCAGCCACGGCGGGCCTAAAGGAGCGCTTCGACCCCCTGAGCCCGGCGAGGCTCCGCGGGGCCCCGCCCCCAGAGGTCCGAGGAGTCCGCTCCTCCGGGTTCCCGGGACTGTGGAGCTTCGTGGGCAGCGGCCGGGGCCGGGTGACTTTGCGGGAGGCCCTTTCCGCGTTCTGTCCCGGTTTTCGCCGCGGAACTCTGTAGTCTTCTGTTTTTGTTTTAGTCCATTTCTCGCGGCTCAGCGCCCGCGCAGAGCTCGGAGCATCTCTGCGGAGGTCGTACCGAGGCTGGAGGAGGAAGGGCGATCGAGCCCGAGGACCCGCGCTCCATCCTACACGCGTAAGGTGGGGACGGGGGTGACCTGGGTTTCAGCCACACTCCAGCCGGCCTGTGCCCCTTGCAGGGACCGCGGGGACGCGGTTTCCCACGCCTTGCGCTCCATTGCTCGTCGCAGTGCTGCGGCTGCCCAGCCAAGTGCAGCTACTCTGGGAGGAGGCTGGGGCTGGTCGGGACTGACTTTGTGCGGCCGTGGGTCCTGGAATAACACTGAGACTGAGAACAGACCCTCCACGTGGGGCCCAAGTGAGGCGGTGGATGGCTTGTATAAAAGGTTTGCGGCGGACCCAGAGGGGGCAAGTTAAGGAGGAAATGGGGCCGGACTGGAGCTGGGAATCTCTAGGTGGGAAACAACGGGGATAGAGTTAAACTAGAGGGTAGGTACGGGCACGAGAGCCATCTCATCCTTGATGAAGGAGAAACCAACTCAGCGACTCGTAGAAGGACCTGGAATTCCTGGGTGAGGATGCGTTGTATTAGGCTCTGGACGGAGAGAACGAGAGAAGTGACGTCGGGCAGGCTTGTTTGTGGCGACTGGGGACCTCTAACTTGTAGACTGGATAAGGGAGTGACTCTGGCAGAATAACTGCCTCTAAATATCAGAAAAGCTCGCTTGTGGAAAGAGTGAGGCTGAATTTATGTGGCTTCAGGTATCAAAATAAAAAACTCACTGCTTTGAAGCGTGAGATGGAGTAACTGAATAGAACTGCCTAGAGATAAAATAGTCTTTTCTTTCTTTCCTTTTTTTTGTTTTTTTGAGACAGCATTTTGCTGTGTAGTGTAGAGTGGCCTTGAATTTACTATGTAGCCCAAGCTGGTCTCAGATTCACAGTGATTCTGCTGCCTCAGCCTCCTGAGTGCTAAGATTACAGCCCATGCCCATTTTAAAGATGGGATAGTCTTATGTGAGAAGCTGTGAATTCCTTGTCAGGGACCTTTGCAAGCTGAACACACAGCTGTGAAACTTGGCTGTTCCTCTGGGCATTTTTTTTTTTTCCTCCCTGCTTCTTGGTGCTGAGGGCGTGCTAGCCAAGCACTCTGTTACTGAGCTAGATCCCAGTGTGGGCTCCTGTTTGAGTGTTTACAAAGTTCTGGTTCTGAGGTCTCTTGACCTTCCCACTCTTCTCTGCCACTGCTGAAGTGTGGCCTAGCATTATCTCTATGCAATAACAACACAGTAATGAATTACAGCAGCTAATGCTTAGTAAATGTTTAGCACTTACCAGGTCCTGCTTTTAAGTGGTTTACACATGCTAACTCATTCACTCCTTAAATAATCCTTTCCAGGTAGCTGTTATTACTGTTTTCTTTTATAGATGGGGAAACTGAGGCACATGTGTGTTAAGCAACTTGCCTAGGATCACACAGGGAGTAATGGCAGAGCTGGAGTTCCACTGTAGGCTAGCTCTGGCTTTTGAGTCATTGTTTTTGGCCAGTATAATGTGTTTTATATATATTTCTTTAATTAGTCCTTGGCACCTTCCCATTTTTAAAATTTTTATTTATTTACATATTTTTGTGGTCCTGGGATTGAACCTCGGGATTTTGCACTGAGCTATACTCCCTCCTCCCCTTTTTTTGAGACAGGTTCTCACTAAGTCAGTAAGTTGCCCAGGCTGGGCCTGAACTTCCTATCCTTTTGCCTCAGCCTCCCAAAGTACTACAGGCATACACCACAGCACCTGCCTCCCAAGTCCCTTTTTATAGTTAGAAAACAGGTTCTGAGAGGTTGACTGATTGGCTTAAGGTCCTAGAGTAGTAGTCATCACTATGACAAAATAAAAAGGAGCAAAGGTTTATTTTGGCCCATGGTTTCAGTGCATGGTCTGCCATGTCTCTGTTGCTTTTTTTTTTTTTTTTCTTTTTGAGACAGGGTCTCACTATGCAGTTTAGGCTGACCCTGAACTCACTTTGTAGCCCAGGCAGGCCTCAAACTCATAGTGATACTCCTGCCTCAGCCTCCTGAGTGCTGGGATTACAGGTGTGCCCCACCGTGCCTGGCTCTCTTTTGCTTTTGAGTCTGTGGCTATCAGGACATTGTGGTGGGGAGTACAAGTTGGAACAAGGCTGTTCACCTTATGGCCACTAGGAAGCAAAAGTAGATAAGGGTTCGGGAGTCCTAGTATCCCCTGCAAAGGCACAGCACCAGTGTTCCTTTCACTAGGCCTCTAGGTTCATTACCTCTGGGTTCCACCACTTCCCATTAGCACCACAGGCCGTCAACCAAATCTTTAACAATGCCTTTGGGGGACATTGAAGATCCAAACCATAATACAGAGCAAGATGTAGGACAGCTGGGTGACATGACACACACGTGTAGTCTCAGCTACTCAGGAAGCTCAGGCAGGAGGATTGCTTAAGAGTCCAGGAGTTCAGGGCTGCCCTAGACAACATGTATGTGTTTATTTTTGTGGTACTAGGCCCTGAACCTAAGGCCTCAATGTGTGCTAGGCAAACCCTATACCACTATGACTCCAGCCCTTTGAGATCCCTCTTAATAAAAAGAAAGAAAAAAACCATTTAGGAGAGCTAGCATTCAGACTGAGGACTGTAAACATGGAAACTCCCCACGCTCTGGACCTCACTGTCCCGCACCTGATTGTGTTGTCACTGTAACTGCCAGGACTGTAGTGACCTCTGAATAGTTTTCTTGCCCAATCTCTTTGCCTTAAATCGTCCATGTTTATGCTGGAGTCTGGATGGCCCTAGAAATGTGTGGGATTTGGTGTGTATTTATTATGTGTTTTTGTTTTTTTGGGTTTTTTTGTTTGTTTTTGTTTTTGAGATGGGGTCTTGTTATGCAGTTCACGTTGGCCTTGAACTCACTGTGGAGCCAAGGCTGGTTTTAAACTTCAGTGATCCTCCTGCCTTAGCCTGTCAAGTGCTGGGATTGCAGGTCTGTCCCATCTCACCCGGCTCAATTCAGGTTTTAAAGCCCAACCTGTCTGGGCGTAGTGATGCACACCTGTATTCCCAGCACTTAGGGGGCTGAGACAGGAAGATCCTGGCAAATTTGAGACCAGCCTGGGCTACAAAGTGAGCTCAAGGCCAGCCTGATCTGCATAGCGAGACCCTGTCTCAAAAAGACCAAAAAGAAACAAAAAAGCCCAGCCTAAATAACTTTCATTGATTTTTCTTTTTTTTTTTTTTTTGGTACTGGGAATGGAACTCAGGACCTTGCACTTGCCAGGCAGGCACTTGTGCCACTGAGCTATATCCCTGGCCCTTCATTGATTTTTCGAAGCAGCTTGTGTCTCCAAAATAGGAGCCGTTCTTTGCTCTTTAGTCAGAGTTAAGTTTCTTATGCACAGATTTGATCTAGGCATGGGATGCAGTGACTCTTCATTGTTTTTAGGACAGTGTCCTAATTGTCTTAACCTGGTCATGCAAGATCCCAGGACATCAGACTGTGGGTCTTTCTTTTTTTTCTTTTTTTTTTTTTTTTTGAGACAGGGTCTTGCTATGCAGTTCAGACTGGCCTTGAGCTCACTTTGTAGCCCAAGCTGGACTTGAACTTGGAAAGATCCTCCTGCCTCAGCCTCCCAAGTGCTAGGATTACAGGCATGAGCCACCATGCCTGGCTGGGTCTTTCTTTTCTTATTCCCCTCTGGTCATCTCACCACAGTGGGGACATTTATCTGCCTGTTTCTCCTGCATTCCCTCAGCTTCCAGGGCTAACTTAGTGCCTGACAAGTGCGGCACCTGGAGCCTTTGCTGCTTACTGCACTGAACGCTGCTAATGGAATGTAGGCCTCCCCTGGCAGTTTGCACTGGTAACCTTGATTAATTGCTGCTTTCTAACTTGGGGGGCTTGTGATTTTCTGGAAGTATGTGCTGCCAGAGCATAGGGGACGGTGGAGGCAGGGGCTGAGCTGAGCAGGAAGTGAACAAGACCATGCAAATGGTTCACATGATGTCAGCGTTCTGACCTGGGCTCCTCTTGCAGGGTGGCCCCTGGGTGGGGCGAAGCTCCTTGTCTTTATCCTGGTCCCCTGTCCTGGTGTGGGCCACTGGCTGCAGGATGAACTGTCGCTCGGAGGTGCTGGAGGTGTCGGTGGAGGGACGGCAGGTAGAGGAGGCCATGTTGGCCGTGCTGCACACGGTGCTTCTGCATCGCAGCACGGGCAAGTTCCACTACAAGAAGGAGGGCACCTACTCCATCGGTACCGTGGGCACCCAGGATGTTGACTGTGACTTCATTGATTTCACCTACGTGCGCGTCTCCTCTGAGGAGCTGGACCGTGCCCTTCGCAAGGTTGTTGGGGAGTTCAAGGTAGGAGTTTGGTACAGCTGATGGCAGGCAGTGGCAGGTGGAGCTGGAATGTCCCTGTACCTTGGCTGGCTGTTGGATCTGCTTGCCCTTCTGGAAATGTGGATTGGGTTCTTTCAGGCACTAAGGTACAGGCCTGTTGAGAGCTCTTCCTGGGTGGGAGGGCTTGTGTGTCAGGGTAGGGTGGGGTGGGGTGGGGTGGGGTAGGCACAGGATGCCTGCACAGATTCCCCAGGGGAAAAGGAGAGCGGGAAGCCAATGTGGTCAGGTCCCCTTGGGGGGTGGGATCATTGCTTCTGTGGTCTTGACTTTGTCTGACTCTACAACTCTTACAACACCTTTCTACATCATTCATTCGTTCATTCATTCATTTATTGTGCAGCACTAGGGATTGAACTTAGGGCCTTCACACTGAGCTATATCCCCATCCCTTTAAAATTTTTTTCTTCTCAACACAGGGTCTCGCTAGGCTGTACAACTTTGATGCTCCTGGTTTACCTCCCAGAGCGTTGGGCTTGCAGGGGTGGGTCACGATGCTTGGCCTTCTGTGCTTACAAATCTACTTTTCTCATCCATTTGCAACTCCCTCGAAGGAAGGATTGCTGTGCTCAGTGGCTGCCAGCCAAGATGGGGACTCCTTTTAGGCAGTGTGGCAGGTGCTTTATATGCCTGAGTGAGCCGGGAGAAAGGTGTGGAAGGGTCAGGGAGAAGTGTGGAATGGACTGACTGCTAATGTTGGTCGCCTTAGGTCATGGGAATGGCAGTGTGGTTTTTCAATTTGTTCTTTTTTTTTGAGACAAGGTCTCGCTATGCAGTTCAGGCTGGCCTTGGACTCACTTTGTAGCCCAAGCTGGCCTCAAAGTCGCAGCAATCCTCCTACCTCAGTCTCCCAAGTGCTGAGATTACAGGTGTGTGCCACCATGACTGGCTAATTTGGCCTTATTGAGAGTTACAGTGTTTCCCAGCACTCGGGAGGCTGAGGCAGGAGGATTGCTGTGAGTTGGAGGCCAGCCTGGGCTACAAAGTGAGCTGAGGGCC